GTGAAGCATGGCGGTGGCAGCATCATGACGTGAAGCATGGCGGTGGCAGCATCATGATGTGAAGCACGGTGGTGGCAGCATCATCATGTCGTGATGCGTCTCAGCAGCAGCCTGGAAGGCTTGTAAAAGTAGAAGGTGAAATGAATGCAGCACAGTATAGAGAAATCCTGGAGGACAACCTGATGCAGTCTGCAGGAGAACTGTGACTTGGAAGAAGATTTGTTTTCCAGCAGGACGATGACCTGAAGCAAACAGTTCAAGCTTCACAGAAATGATTCAACAACAACAAGGTGAATGTTCGCGAGTGGCCGAGTCAGAGCCCAGACCTCAATCCAACTGAGAATTTGTGACTGGAATTTAAAAGCACTGTACACACATGAAGCCTGTGTAACCAAAGAATGGCTTTGTTGTAGATTATTGTTAACAAGCTGAATTAAATTGACTGTGATTCAGTATTGGAAAGCAATAAAAGGAGAACTTCTCAGGGTAGTTAAAACTTTGTACAAGCAGTGTAGGCACATTGTGGTTTTGCTGTATTTGTCAGTTTTCTCCAGAATCAGATTTGAACTAAATCTGACATGATAAAGATTCTTCATCTACAGAGACTTTCAAAAGCATCACCTACATTAAACCACTACAAGCGTCCCAGCTGCTAATTAACGCAATTAATTGGTTTCCAGATGCACTTTTTTTTATTTTTTACAAAGCTTTCCAGATTCCTTCTGTAGCTTTAAAAGTTAATCAACTACACCAAAACCGAAATAATCTCAGTTTGTCTAAATCGCTTAAATAGAGCTGGAAGTACAATCTGAGCGTCTGTTGCAGTGGAGAACCAGGCCTCGGGGCTCCGTTCCAGCCCAGTAAAGCTGCTAGCAGGTGGGGGCAGCTGGGCCTGCCTGGTCCCCAGAATCAGCACATTGTTCCCGAGGTCACCGTCTGAGAGCTCCATGAAATCCAGGGTGGGCTGCAGGGGCTCGGGCCGTGGGACCGGCTCCAGAAATAATAAAACCTCGCACTGTCCTCGTTTTCGCGAGTCGGAGCGAGCGGCTTATCGTGGCTGATCATTAAGCTCAGAATCAGCTCCGGCGTAATCACCATGCATAACAAATGTGCGGCAAAGTCACTCGGTGGCACCGATATACAGACAACATGTGGGATTACAGAGCGAGTGGTGACCAAACAGAGCCTCAGACATCACCGCTGATTGCATTTATGTCCACCCCCGAACTTCATTAAACAGAGAAATGCAGCTTCAACCGCCCACTTCTTCAGGTTTCATCACCACCTCCACACGCTGCTCCTGTGCTATCAGCTGCATTTGGCAAAAAGCCTTGACTCGGCACGCTGCCAAACTGAATTTGTCCCACCATGACAGTCAGTAATGGCTGCACCACCACGTCAATAAGAGAGGTTTTGAAGGAAGAAACCTTTAAGACTGTGAGACGTAAAGTGCCAGATTGGTTCCAGTTCCGTGTTCATTTTAACTCATCAATGAACTGCTTGTACCTGTTTTTGGACTTTGTAAGTTACTGATGTTGTGTTTCTTTTATATCTTATATTACACTTAAATTCTCTGCTGATTGGCTCTTCGCTTGATCGGTTTAGCATGATGGTTGCTATTGATTAACTGATGTTTTCTCAGACTTTTTATGTTGAGAGCACGTCTATCCTCACAGACATTGGACCTTTGCTGTTATATTTACCAGAAGGACATCCTCTTGAGATGTTGCATCTCATTTCTTTCCGTACAAACACAACTTTACATAACAAGTAATACAAAAACACCAACAGCTCACGGTAATAAAACAGCTTCATCGGCATCAAAGTAGTTGGAATTCTGATTAATTAAAGCACTAATTAACTAAAAAATTGACAGTACAAGCAAATTAAAAGCACAAACAGGTTGTTTTAGGACGAACAAATAAAGATCAGAACCTCTGAACTCACCTTGTCAAACATGTTTTTTGCATTTTGCACCAAATTATAGTTCTCGCTCCACATAGTAGAGCACATATTTATTATCCACACAACTGTTTCCATTCATTTTCCAGTGTACAACCAAAATGCAACACCATGAAATCTTTTGAGGACGGACTACAGTAGCGATCCAATGAGATGTTCTGTACGTATTTTGAAGTATCGCATTAGGAAAAGTTAACAGAAACTGGTTTTATGCTCACTTGGGTTGGTTTTTGAGTTAGTGTTAGACGTTCAACTCGCATGACTGATGACTTCTTTCATTGTCTTCACCTCCGAACGTCAAGAAACAGCGAAAGGATGATGAAATACTTCTAACTTTCAGGATTAAAAACAATTCCCAATGATTTCTTTCCATTATTCTCTCATAGATGGACACATTTCTGTTTGCTTCTACCTCTCCTATGAGGTTCTTTAGCAACTGTTTTCGTCTTCTTATCGCGCCACCTTCTGACAACACTATGCACATCCTTTTCCTTTTTTTATTTACAACTTTTCAAAATCTGCTTCAAACATATCTGGCCTTGGACAACAGATTGCATGAATTTGTCAGTTTCAAGCTCATCCTGTCTGTAAATCTGTTCTTTGCAAACGTTATGATCCACAAACTAAAGCACTGGAGCGCAGAAAACACTTGCAAATGTGAACACTTGTTTGCACTGTATGCAGGTTTCTGCTAAGTTCTTGTTTTTGGCTGCAGCTCCACCAACTTGGCTGTTTTTCAGAAGTGGACAAAGTGAGACACACACACACACACACACACACAGATATATATGTATTTCTATAAGACAGTGCTGAAATCTAAGAGCATTGCAACACAGACAGAATTACATCACGGACTAGCAGGCGGCAGAATTGTCACATCTGATAGCAACATGTGGGTCGAGGTCGAAAGAGGAATCTGGAAAGTCTCCCAGCGAGCATAAATCTGGGATAGAGTCCCAAAAAAGCTGCCAGGCAACACCGGAAATCACTTTTTTTTCTTCTCGTTTCCAGCGTATAACCACATGTGTGTACCTGCGATTCCACGGTGGCGGTAAAAGACTTGGATTTATACGAAACTAATGCGCTCTCTCAATTAGAAAGCGTTACAGTTTCTTGCTCCGAGGTCGACACGTCGTCCCTGGTTAGGAGGAAGATAAATGATTTCAGAGCGGCTTTACCATGGAGCTTAATGGACTATAGAAAAGTTACAAAATGGGGCTTATTGTGAGTTCCTATTGTGAGCCGGGCTCGGAGGCAGCGCCGAGCCAACATGAGTAACTGCAGCCAGTAAAAAAAAGGCTCCGATGAAAGCCGTGCGACAGGCCGCCGCCGCCGAGGCCAAAAAAACCAACTACCTTTGGTGTCCATGTCACTCCAGGATA